GTACCGTAATGAGTGACCTTTGCAACTGTAAAAAATTCAAAAAGATCCTTTCAAATCCTCAAGAAGGAGTTCTGCTCATTAAGCTTCCAATTCCTTCTAAAGCAGATTAATTAGTATAGATTTTCAGACTTTCTCCTGCGTTCGCTCAGAAAAAAAAAAAAAAGGTGCATTGTGCGGAAACTCCAAAAGATCAACAAAAATAAAACATGTGACTAAAAAACAGATAAATTTGAAAATTCAAACCAAGAAAAAAGCGAAATATCAACCTGCTGTCCAAAACTGAAATTCCAATAACATAGATTTAAGCGCTAAGTTACATCAAATAACATCAGAATTCAGCAGAAACACAAGCGTTCTAAAAATCAGATTCCTAGAAGGTTTTAACAAGGAAAGACGCCTCTACTAACTAAATCCGACTAAAAAACTAAAAGTACCCAAGTATACGTGCGAAGCAATTAGGCAAGCAAAACTCAGAAGGAGATTCTCTTTTTCCAACTAAAGAATCCCAACGGCTTTTTTTAGTTTTCAGAGCTGTTCAACAAGGAATAAAACAAAAGAGTATTAAAAAGATCTATTCAGATATAAAAAAGAGATAAAATTTAAGAAAATTGCAATTGGATAAATTCAAAAACTACCTGAGCTTGCTGATACCGGCACGGAAAAACTGAAAGTAAAAAATCGACCAATTTTCTCGCATCTTGTAATTTAGCGTAGAAGAAATCAATCCCTGTGGAAACCGGCTTAACTCCCGTAGCTTTTTCATGAACTCCATGCTTTAAAACTAGCTGTTCTAAATAAAACAGTGTTTTCTTAAAGTCGCACTTCTGCCTCACCTGCACACAAGCTCTCCAATAATCTTTTGCTTCTGCGCGGCGACAGTCATTGCACATCTAGAACACCACAGATAAATAATTGAAAATGCTCCTTATTAAGTTTACTTCATTACAAGCTCAAACGGGAAGATAAATCTGAAATAAATTCAAAAAAACGCTAGCTCGATCAAAAAAAAAA